ATTTGGGATTGCTTTCCTTACTTTGTTTGGATCATCTTAAGTTAATGTAGGAGTTGTTTTTTCTAAAGTAAAACCTCAGTAGTCAGGTTGAATTGCCGTGTTGGCACTTTGCGATAAATAAGTGGGTTTTGGGTGGCAGCTTGGGCACTCGGTCTCTAGAAGGTTCGCCATCATTGGTTTAACCCTTTCTTTGGCACCTTGTTTCCATGATAAAAATCTCCCCAGATGCTCTTAGGTCTGATGGGGGGAGAGAAGGGACAGTACGGGTCCCAGTCCCTCCCTGCCCCACATATACACGCACACAGGGGTAGTAGGAGTCCCCTGCCCCAGCTGTTCCTGGGGAAACGATGCAAGGGGTTAAGTCCCCCCACTTCCTCACGCACTGCAGGTCCTCTCCCCCCTCTGCTGCTTTTTGACATCAGAAACTATGTCAGGAATGCTGATCGTGGCACGTAGTGTGCTGGTTGATGGTTAACACGCCTGCCTTTCTGGGACTGGTCACCGTGGAGTGCTAGAACGGCATTTCAGTCGCAGGGCAGCTCACGCCCCCCCCCCCCTGTCTCTCCTGTGCCAGATCCAGGGTGGGAAGAAGCTGGTCACCTGCGCCCTTCGGCCAACGGGCATCTATGGGGAGGAACATCCTCTGATGAAGGAATTCTACGAGAAAGGGCTGGCCACAAAACGCTGCATGATCCGGACCATCCCGGCCTCTACGGAGCACGGCAGGGTCTACGTGGGTGAGTTGTGGGGCCCTGCGAATGTGCGCACAGGCACACCCTCGGCTCGTTCCCGAGCCTTCAGTCGGAACTCTGGCAGCAGGTTCTGAAAATGCAAGAGAGGGAAGCTTTTGGTTCCCTCTGCAAGACCCCGAAGGAAGTGAAAAAGACCACATGGTGCTTTGACCCTGAACTTTCTGGCTGTGTGCCTGGATTTACGATAGTATAAGTTCAGGCAGGCAGCTGGATAGTTCGGTGTCAAAGCCCAGGGGGCAAACATTAGGATGATTCATATCGCTTGGAGCCATTCTCGGGAGCATCCGACGACAGCAAATCACAGCTTGTCACCAGAAAGAACCTCGAAGGGCTCTCCCTCCCGTGTGTGGATTGGAAACAGAAGGCATCCTGGTTCAGAATGATCACATCTGAACGGGAGGAGATTCACCACAGTTTGCTCTGACTTGGGTGGCCCTGGTGAGATCATCTCGTCAGCTCTCAGAAACTAACCAGGGTCGGCCCCGGTTAGTGCTTGGACGGGAAACCTCCAAGGAGGTCCAGGGCTGCTGTATATGGGCCCCCGGTCACACGGAGCGTTAGGCACGCTAGAGGGACGGAAGGTAGGCGGATTTTCCGGGCGCAATCTCACCGCCACATCCGGGAAGCGTAGAGCTCCCGTGGCTCAACCGAGGCTTCCCGCCGAAGATGCGCGGCAAAAAACTAGTACCTCGGAGGTACTAGTTTCCGGAAACCGCGGAGCAAGGGCGGGCGTCTGATCGCGTTTCCGGTGGCATCCGGCGCCCGCCCATGTCCCGTCACGAAAAGGCTTCCCCCCCCCCAAGTCTCCACGGATGCGCACAAGCACCCAACGGAGCATGCGAATACTTGGGTTAAAAGGGGAGGGGAAAACCCTCCGATCCGCTTCTTTGCCGCACCACAGGTATGATCGGCACCTCCCCCCAACCACGGGAAGTCGGCGGGACGTTTGATCCTGCTGCCGCGCAGTAGTTCGCTCTGGGGCAAACAGCCACGCCTCCCCCCTGCGATATCCGGCCTGTGTGACCGGGGCCATGGGCAGGCAATGGCAAAACCACCACCGCTTCCCTCTTGCCCTGCAAACGTGACAGGATCGCTATAAGTCAGCTGCAACTTGACGGCACTGCCGGCCATCAGTCATTTATCTGTCTGAAGTGGAGGTCTTGCCAAACTGCTTTCAAACCAGGAATGTTGGGTGATAGTGAGATATTGAAAAAATGGTATTTAGCAGAGATAAGATAACCTAGCAGAAACAGAGTAAAATAATTCAGACTGAGAATCCATGTCCGATTAAAATATAAAGTTTTTACTAAATTCTAGCATGGGGAAGGGTAACTGGGATGAAAGTAACAACAGAGCATAATCGGCTACATCCTTACTCTACAAAGACAAAACTAGAAGAGGAAAATTATGGCCACTCTTCTTCTTCTTCAAAACACCAAACAAAGACGGGAAGAGAGCCATAAAATGCTAATACACCTTGACACTTTAGTCCCAATCAAATTCCTAGATCAGGGAGAAAATTCCCGGGTATTATACATCTAAAGAACATTGGTTACATGAGAAACATGTGACTTCCTGTGAGTAACATAAACAAACATTTAACCCCAGATATACTGAGTGTTTTCGACTTGTAATACCCAACAACGAAGTCTTCAGTCTCCAAACCATGAACCGGGACTAGTGGCCCACCAGAGGGGGCAGAAGCCGGCTCAGAAAAGCCACTGGGCCAGATGCATCTACTGGGCCGTGGCTCTCAGACTGTGGTCATTTGGGGGCAAGAATTCAAGCGTCAGTGGCATATGGCAACTGATGTTCTGACTAATTTGTCATTTCGCTGCCTCTGGTTGCCGGGTGTGTTTTGCTTTGTTTTGCAAGCTTGCTGTAGATTTTTTAAGAGTCTGTCTTCTCTTTCTGTAACGCGTTTGCAGAACAGTGCTGAAAAGTGAGTCATAAAATGCTTTCAGTAAATACATAATTGTACAATATCCTGGGAGAACTGTGTTTGATTTCCCTTTTTAAAGAAGTGAAAGGCAGCTGCACCTGAGGAGTGAGGATGCAAACTTGTTCAGCGCGGCAGCTGTACCAACAGCAGCTTCCCTGTGCCCTGCGTGCACCTGCGCTCTTTGGGGAAAAGGGGTATATGCGGGCACGCACGTACGTTCTGCCTCTGCTCAAAAAGAACAGCTCCTCTGTGGCCGCAGTTCGGTATTTTTTTTTTAATTGGGAGATCAATTTTAGCATAATGTATTGATTGTTCCTTCCCTCCTCCTTTTCGGAAGGGAAAGTTCCTGTACCTTTTCAATAGCTGTGTAGAAAAGAGAATTCCAGCAGGGACGGCTTTTTTTTGCTCTCCTCTGACAAGCTGCAGCTTAGCCTTGCTCTTGAAAGGAGAGAGAACAAAAAGAAATTTGGGTTCCCTGATGAAGGTTGGAATGAAGGACGTGGTGGAAGGAAGAAGGGGGGGGTGAAAGAGCCAGAAAACCATCCCGTTGGGGGGGGGAGGAGACCAGTGTTCCCTCTAAGCTGAGCTAGTGTGAGCTAGCTCAGAGTTTTTTAGCCTCTGGCTCACAGATTTTTCTCTTCACTCAGGAAGGATGGCTCCAGAGCAAACTAATTTATGCAGTAGCCAAATCGCTCACTCACAACTTTAATGCCAGTAGCTCACAAGGTAGAATTTTTGCTCACAAGGTTCCACAGCTTAGAGGGAACATTGGAGGAGACAGGCAGATTTTGCTTCTGCCATAAACTCTGTGGAAAGAGCGGGGCCAGGGCATGGGGCAAATGTTTTCCCCCAGCCCCAACACTGATTTTCATAAACCCGGGATAATTCTTCTTATGTCGTTCTGTAACTGAAGCCTTCCTTTGTCCTCCTATCTTCTCTTCTCCCCCCCCCCCCCCCATGCAGGCAACGTGGCTTGGATGCATTTGTTGGCAGCCCAAAAGATGCAGGAGACCCCCTTGGCCATCGGGGGCCAGGTTTATTTCTGCTACGATGCCTCTCCGTACAAAAGCTATGAGGACTTCAACATGGAGTTCCTGGGGCCCTGTGGCTTCCGCCTCCTGGGCTCCCGGCCCCTCCTGCCCTTCTGGCTCCTCTACTGCATGGCCTGGTTCAACGCCCTCTTGCAGTGGCTGCTGAAACCCTTCTACACCTACGCCCCCCTCCTCAATCCCTACACCCTGACGGTGGTGAGCACCACCTTCACGGTGAAGACCGACAAGGCCCAGCAGCAGTTCGGCTACCAGCCCCTCTACACCTGGGAAGAGAGCCGGGACCGGACCGTCAAGTGGATAAAGGAGATAGACGCCCAGAGGCATGCTGGGAAATAGCCACCTGGCATTGGGGGAGGGGGACAGAGAATCCCAGCCAAAGATTCAGAGGAATCCATCTGTGGGTGCTGCTGCTGCCCGAGTTGCTCAGTAAAAAGATCTTTTCCCTCAGAATTGAAATTTCCTATATCCGGAGGACGTGGTTGTATCCGACCGTGAACTGTGCTATGCACTTGTCGGTATTAATTTCTGAAAACATGGCGTCTGTGCACATCTCCTTCAGGATTAGTAAACTTTTTTTTTTCCCTGTGCAAGTATGCCAGTACCTTGCGCAAGGTCCTACAAGATGCTGTCATTTTGGGGTGCAGCCAAAGAACGCGGCTGCCTCCCCGGATTTTGTTCGTAGCATGTGAATCGGCTTGGGGTAGTGGTCGCATGCATTGGCACCCAGTTCCCAAATCCTCACTTAAGTCTGGGATTTCCTTTAGTCTCGTGACGTGAAAGATCTGGTCCTCTGATAGGCTGGGTTGACGTCCACCTATCACTGAGTCTTGCGCTATTGTGTTATAAGCAGTTGTTCACAACTGGACTGACTGCAAAAAACCAAACAGTAGGGATGGCTGAAATCTGGGACGTGTGGAAGAGACTGGCAACTGATTCTTGGGTTTTCCCTTCCGATATTGTATATCCTTGTAAAAAAAAAAAAAGCACATCCAAATATGCCTGGATTTGCCTTCTGTGTTGTGGTTCCGTCTGTAGGCAAGGCTTGGCTGCCTCCTTGGATTCCACACATGCGCGAGTTTGCACAGAGTCTGACCCCTGAGACACGGAGTCCTGAAAATCCTCCACTTTAACTAAAAAGCCAAGAGTCAGGTCTTCCTGGTGGGTGGGGGATGTATGTCGAAAAATGCACTTGCCCAGAGCCTAAGTCCTCACCAGGCACAAAACCTACCTCCAACTCTCCACTGTGATCCGATCCCTGCAATAGGATCTCATGTGTCATAAAATAAATCTGTTTTGCTGCTGAAGTAACCTCTAATGGTAATGGGTTTGCAGGCCAGGCTGCTCACCCCGTGGGCCTTGCCTACGCCTCCCTTTCTCTCCTGGATCGTGCTCTGCGCACCTCTGCCTTCACGTGCGCATAATTTATCCCAACCTCTTCTATCACTGCATTGTTCCACTTGGGCTTTATTTTAGGAGAGTATAAATTAGGTAAAAAAAACCCTGACAGATTGGTGGTGGGCACAAGCTTAGGTGACTGCAAAAGACAATCAGACCCGTGGCTGGGGGCAGAGGGGTCTCACTGGCACCTCCATGTGCGGCGAAGGCCTTGGATGCGCTGACACCGGGGCCAATCAGTGCAGAGGCCGCTACTTTCACTGGCCTCCCCGTTGCGTTCTGTGTGCACAGAATGCCAGACAAGGCAGACTTTTGCCCTGCTTTTTATGTTCTTCGGGGGATTCAAAACCAGCCCCCTTGGATGTGATTCTTCAGCAGACGTTCTCTTGAGGGCAGAATGGCATTTTTAGAACACGGCATGTCCGGTTCTCAGGTGCACAGTTTGGATTATATGGAATATGGAAATGCCTGCATCTCGACGGTGTGGCCTCTCTGGGTGCGCCTCTTCCTGCAGAAGCTCCGATCCAATGAGAATAACCCCCAGAGTCCAATTCTTGTCTTAGTGAGGCTGCACATTAGTTACTCCGATCCCGTGTCAGTGATCTGTTTCCAGGACGTGCTCACGCCGCACAGTGCTTTCTTTCCGTTGCCTCCCGAGAGTCAGCATGTGGACTGACTCTTTACTGGAGAACCGGGTTTGATTCCCCACTTCTCCACATGCAGCCAGCTGGGTGGCCTTGGGCCAGTCACAGTTCTCCCAGAACTCTCTCAGCCCATCTACCTCACAAGGTGCCTGTTGTGGGGAGAGGGAGGGAAGGCCGATTGTAAACTTAAGGCAGAGAAAAGTGGGGTATAAAAACCCGCTCTTCTTCATCTTCTGCTCTTCTTAGCCAGTCTGATTTACCGTTCACTAGCAGAACAGGAAGAAGCTGGGCAAGATCTGACGCGACATCGTTCCTTCCCCGTGGCAATGTGAATAAATCCAGAGGATACATTCCACAGGGCTGTAATCCAATCCCAGTATTTCCTTCTTGTCTCTGAATCACCACTGTTGTCTGGTCTGGTTCCAGAGCGCTACATCCACATTTTGATTTTCACCCTGCCAGTCAACTGGCTGGGCAAACAGACTCTGCTTGTTGTGACAACTCAGCGGGATGTATTTTTGGTTTCAGTAATCCTGCTGTCTTACCACAAGGGTTGTTTTTCTTTTTTAAAAAAATTATTGGTGGTGGTGGCATTCATGCAGTGGGAATGAGACTGGAGCACTGATGACTGTGGCAGTCCTCTCCTACCTGAGGCCAGGGGAATCTTTGCTTTGGAGGCTTTTTCAGTGCTGAGGCTGAGATCCTGAAATGCAAGGGGAGGGGCCTAGCCAGAGGACCCGGCCAATCAGGAGAAGAGCCTGGTTTCAGGGTGGAGCCTGAGAGGTATGAAGGCAGAGCTCATTGGTTGTTCCCTATTGCATTTTCCCACTGGTGAAATATGGTCGAGGGGATCCTTTCTGATCACTGAAAAGGCTATGGCCGCCCTAAACAGATGGATAATATTGCTTTGAGCTCACTCGTATGTATTAGAGATTCTGTTCTAGACTTGTATGAAACGCAAAGGCACATTCCTCGGAACAGCAGTCATTGGCTGTATAGAGTTTTATTAATTTAAGCGATTAAAGGAATATCTTACCATGTGAATCAGAGTTGGCGCTTGTTTTCTTGACGGGAGGGATGGGGCAACTGGTCCACAGCAGGGTTGGGCAGGGATGGTGAACTGAGGGCCGGAACCGAAGGATGCGTTTCCTTTCCTTTTTGCTCCTTTGATCCAAAGATCGCGAGCAGCAGATATGGAGCATTTATTTCTTTAAGGAAAATATGGTGGATAGATACTTGGCTGCAAGTAAAATAGTCCATGGTCCCTGCCACACGGGGTGGGGTGGGGAATGCGCGGGCAAAGTGCGGCTTTTGAAAGCCGCACCAAAATAGGCACGCGGCGGCGGGATCACAAAGATCCCGTGAGCCGCCGCACACTTGCTCCCCGGCACGATCAGATGCCGGGGAGACCAGGGAGAAAGCCACGACACAGAGAGGGAGGCTGCCGAACTGTGTATGTGTGAGCATGCGCAGTTCAGCCAGGAGCCTTGGATGCGCTGGCAGAAGGACGCGCTGGCGATCCCACAGCTGCGCTTGCCGCGGCCTTTCTGTTAAGTCCACCTCTAGGGATGGTTCTTTTTTGCAGCGGGTTTTCAGCCTGAAGTGCCGGATTGGGGACGGGTGCGTGCCGCTTCCAAGATGTTGCGGTGAGATTGTGCCCGCTTGCTGCGCCCCTGATCCGTCCCTCTCCCGGCCCAAACCCTTACGTGTGACCGGGGCCCATGGATCTCTATCCGCCAACAGAGAGGGGACTATATTGTCTCTGAGACAGTAGAAGATGATTTCGTTAAAATAGGGGTAATCCATCACTCACGGTAAAATTTGTAATAGGGGCATTCTGGTATCATATGGGACGACGAGTCACTCTTTTTCAGATCACCTTGTCAGAGTCTGTCTGAACAAGACAGGCTGCAGGATCTCCCAGATCAGACAGCTGAAGGGGCTGCGTTCAGACTCTGCAGTAGCGGGGAACTGTTAAGTATTTAACACAGAGGCTGGGGTGGTTAGAGATGGAATAATACCACTCTCCTGGCTCGCATCACCAAACTAAAATGGTCTAGGTCTTTTATATATTTCTTGATAGTTAAGAGAGGGTCATATTCCCCAAGCCCTAGTATAGCATCCTTTGCTAAGCCCAGGCTAAGGGGTTTCTTATCTATTTCTTGCATCTAGCGTGAAGAAAACGGGTCTTGATTAAGTTCATAAAGGAGACCTTTCTTCTTTGTAGCGAAGTAAACCTTTAGCCCATGCTTGGACATGTGTAGCCACACTTTGGCTTCTATAGAGCCTTGGCCCAGTTCTAGTCTTAGAGCTGCCCCGGCTACACATCTTGGGGTACCTGTAATATGTCGTAGAAAGTGGCAAAGAGGTCAATCTAAGTTTTCATTAGCTCAAAGGATCCATATTGAAGCTCCGTAAAGGAGCTGCGGGATAATTTTCATGCTAAACGTGTGCAGGCCCCCTGGGATATATTTGCCTCCCTTAGAGAAGAAGAAACATTTGATCGCTGCCACAGAGGGTTTAATTTTGTTAGTAATAAACTTAAGATGGGATTGCCAATTAAGATTGGAATAAAAAAACACACCCAAGTATGGAGATTTGGAAACTTGTTCTAATTGGACACTGTCAGTTTTCCAGACCGTAGAAGTAGTGTTCTTGGCTCTGGAGAAGACCATAACCTTCAATTTTGAATAATGGATGTTTGGCTATTTAGACTTAAAAGTCTTCTCAATCCAACCCGCGTGCCAGACATAAGAATGGCATCATCAGCATAAAGGAGTAGGGTCAATGCCTTTGGTGAGAAGTGTGAAGGATGGAAAACTGAAGGATGCACGAATGGGCAACTTGATGCAGGCGGGAGAGATGGGCTGTCTTTTCTCCCTCCACCCCGAATCTCTCCTTTCATCATGCCCTGCTCTGTGGTTTGGAGTGCAGAACTGGTTTCCTGAGTATTGCCGGCAAACTAGAGAAAGTGTCTAGTCCTCACTGTTGCAAAGAGATGCTTGAAAAAAGAAGTGTGCTATGTGCAGTGCCTGCTGGAACTGCAGAACAGGGGGCTGCACTGGATGATCCAGCGCACTGCTTCTCGTTCCTCCCCTTGACTAGCAAAATTAGGGTTGATCATACAAAACATGGAAACGGGCAAATGTGCGCTGCTTGCAAGGAAGGTCGTTCTTTGGGCAGAACTTGGATTCCTTTACCCTGACCTGGGTGACCCAGCCCAGTCTCCTCTCATCTGAACTCAGAAGCTAAGCAGGGTTGGCCTGGTTGGATGGGAGACCCCCCAAGGAAGTCCAGGGTTGCCTGGCAGAGGCAAGCGATGACATACCGCCTCCGTCCGTTTCTTGCCTTGAAAACCCTCTTAGTAGGTGGGATGGCTGCAACTTGACAGGGCTTTCCACCATCAAACGCTGAACTGGTGTGACAAAAGGTGAGCTGTGATTCTGCAGGCCCCTGGTGCAAATCTCACCTTTGCATCAGACTCACTAGGGGCCGAGCTGTTCTTTTCCAGTCTCAGCCCACCATCTGCAATAATGCTGACCTATCTTATAGGGCTGTTGTAAGGATTACACACGTGATACTGTAGGACAACCAGGGCTATTTTTGGGCAGGAACGCACAGGAACGGAGTTCCGGCTGGCTCCAGAGTTGGCCACACCCAGCAGGAACTCATTAGCATAGTAGGCCACACCCAACAGCAGAAACTCATTCGGATTGGCTACATTAGGGGTGTGTGGCCTAACATGCAAAGGAGGCCCTACTCCTTTATGCTGGCCCTGGGTTTTGACAACAAACAAGGTGAACAGAATAAGAAGCAAAAGGTGGGACCCTAATGTGCTAATGAGCTGTGCTGTCAGGGGTGTGGCCTAATAGGCGAATGAGTTTCTGCTGTTGGGTGTGGCCTATTATGCGAATGAGTTCCTGCTGGGCTTTTTCT